AGCGAGCATCCTACGCTCCAAGCTGTAGAAACGTTTTTCCGCCATTTGACGCGAATCGCCGAGAGATAAAACATCTCCCTTAAAGGGTAGCGCTACACTATATCTACCGTCGCGATCACGAACGGTCGTGCGGACGTAAATTTCCTCGCATATCCTGTCAGCTGAACTAGCTATGGGTGGGACGTTCACCTCCTCCATCTCCCAAAATTTGCGGACTAACGACTCGAGCGGTTCGACAGCCATACCACAATAAGAGGCTGCCGAAATACTATCTAGGATGGGGGCGGAGCCAAGGATCACATAGCCCAATACGGTTTCCAGTGCGTAAGGCGCGGTATGCGAGGAGTTGCCCCTGACCTTATTGTTTAACAAAAGATGAGGGAAAAGCGATGCCCCAATGAGCATGTCTATGTTTCCAGGAACGGCGTAAGTGTCGTCTGCTAGAGTCAAATTTTTAAATTCAATCATTGCCGAGGTGTCAACCGAAACGGTTGGCAACCGTTCAGTGACCCTATCTACTACTAGTGCATTTATATCAAAGTTAACGTTACGATCTATCCGAGAATAAAATTTTAAATTTATATATCCCTGTGTCGCTTTACTAGTACCTCCGATGCCTTTAACTACAGGACATGAAAGTGACCTATTTATTACTAAGCCTAAGCGCTGACAACATTGTCGTGTTATAAAGCTATTTTGGGCTCCGCTGTCCAGCAGTGCACGGACGCTTTGTTTGTTTCCACGCGAATCCCTAACCAAAATACGCGCCGTACCCAGTAACACGGTTGAAGGAGGTTGTGCTCCCATATTTGCCAATGAGCACAGAGCGACATCATCAGGTCGACCGCTAGAATCGTTGACCTTAGTAGGGGTGAATTCCTTATTCGCCTTACTTGACGCCGCTATGTTGCTATTTTCAAAATGTAATAGCGTGTGATGTTTCCTGGCGCACTTGCTACATACGGAACTCGAATTGCATTTTGCAACTAAATGCTTATCGCTTAAGCAGTTCAAACATAGGTTGTTTGTCTTTACTAACTTATAACGTTCGCTTGGTGAATATTTACGAAAAGTCGCACAGTTATATAAGTTACCGTGTTTATCTTTACATACTATACAAGTATGCTGGAGCGATGTCGGCGTAGCGGTTACGTAAGTTAACGACCCTGCTATTTTAGATGATTGAGTCTGTCTACGGTCGACGCACCTTTTAATCTCCTGTTTAACGTTCGGTGAGCGCTGCATCACCTTTATTTGATCTCGCACGAACGATGCTAATGAATGAAAGGAAGGCATCTCCGAGCTACGATGCTCCATTTCAAACGCACGCACGGTGTCGGAGTCTAGTTTCTTCAATGCTATATGGAGAAACACCACGTCCATGAGGTCATTAAACTTCAAATTCTTAAGTGCAGCCACCGATGCCACAAATTTATCGAGAAACTGCTCTAAGCCGTTGATGTTCGCGGATGATATAGGTTTAAGATCGAATATCTGGTTCAAATATTCGGAAGCTAACATTCTCCTATCTTCATATTTAGTTTTAAGCGTTTCAAATATTAATACGTAATTGTTTGCTGTAGGTGTAAAACCCGAGCAGATCGACTGTGCTCTGCCACTAAGTTTGCTAATTAAGTAATATAATTTTTCAGCGTCCGATAACGATGGGTTGTTGTGTATATTGTTTTGAAAACTACTGAAGAAGAAGGGCCACGTCTTAATATCACCATTGAATACCGGAATATCTATTGGCGGTAACCTAATTGAGTCACGAGGGCGTACCTGCATTTCAGGCTTCGCTTCACCTTGAGATTGTAGCAATTTTGCGGTTCTCTTCACGCGACACAACATATCTTCGAATGCCAGCAGCGGTTGGTAGTTCACTATGTATTTCGGGTCGGTTTGTAGTTCCGAATGATTAATTTGGTCTAATATTCTTTCGTAATCTGTCCGCAAATTATCAATCGTTTCGATTTCATTTAAAAAGGCCTCCCGTACTGCCTCTATATGAATGTTCTTTATATAATCACTTATATTTTGCACACGCGAAAAGAGTATGTCCCTCTTGGCATAAAGCGTTTTAATTTTGATTTCACTTCCACTAACTGCCATTTTAAATTATTATAATAAAGTTATATTAATCACAATTAATCTCACACGCATAAACGACGTAGGATGAATACTCGGCGTGCTGTATTACGTAATCAGATCGAGCGCCCGATGCAGTCAAGGCTACGCGTCGTTTGCTAAACCTAATAATTTTATAAAATTGTGGGGTAAGCGTATCAAACGGTTGCTATCACGCCGTTTCAATTATTTAATAAGCTTTAAATTTAACCAAATACGAGCGCTATTAAATGAATAATTCTGTTTGCGAGTAACAAATCAAAATTTTAATTTAAACGAACACTATTTAAGTCTATTCCATAAGTTAGAGTGCGTTATCTAAACAATTAATTTAATAATTCGACCAGAAAATGGTTGGATAACCACTAAACACCAATCCAGATCCTGCCGAAGTGACCATAAAATGGTGGAGCCACGTGTTTAAGGCTGCCGAAAATCTAGTTCCCCGGTCAAACCTCAAACCTATTACGCGAGATATTAACTAAAGTGGACTGTATATGCGATTGCTTCTATGCTTATGTGAAGCGACTACTATAGCATGCGGTACAATGCACTCGCTCTTCCCTAAACTAAACTATTACTTGTCGAATCGATGAAAGGAATCCTGCTTGACTAGGAAAAAAAACACAAATTGGAGCGGGTTAAATTATTAGCAAGCAGGTATAATTAAGGAGTATTGACTCACCGGGGTTTCTTCTTCCTGTCGATCACTATAGCGACTTCTGGAACACTCCGGAGAGAGGCGATGCGCGACGATATCTCACACGAGGTGAGGCGGGTTCCTGGAGCTCGACTGCTTCCAGGCCAAAGCGGTTTCCACTAGTGAGGTGTTTCCAAACGAGCGCGCGGGAAGAGGAGGTTGTAGTTCAACGACGACTGCGGCGGGAGAAGAGAGCGCGCGTCGGTCGCGCGTGTCTTATATATCCTCGGGTCCGATGATTACGCGATGTTCTAGAATCGTCTTCTTTCCCCTCCCACCCCACCACCCCGATGTGTCGATAGGAGGGTACGAATGATATTGTTTCGGAAGGGAATAATGATTCGACAAATTCCTACCGTCAAAAATAAAAAACGCGAATGGTTTTCCGCGCAACCACTTTGTGATTTTCCCATAATATCTGTGCTCGGGCTGGGAAACATGTAGTCAACACTATAGCGAATAGTAGACGAATTTGTATTGCTGTACAGTTCAATGCAGCTTCAGCAAGCATGCATTCCCACTGGTTGTCGTCTTCCAGCAAGCCGAGTGCAAGGCATGCATCTTTATACGTTGGATATTGTTGCCCATTCACTTTACGTATATCTTGAAATGATAATGGGCCAGTAACATTAACCAACAACAGTCGAAGATAAAAAGCACTCCGTGTGTCTTGGATTGACTGTAAATAATCGCCCCAAGGCGTTTGATTTAAATAAATTGAGACATGCAGCAACTGGTGAGCCTTGCTTGCGGGGCATCCATGTTTTTGTTTGAGTCCATGTGAAATAGCGTGGTACTTGTGAATAGAGTAATGTTCGTGCAAAGGCACCAAAATCATCCGCACGATTACACAATTCAAAAAATGCAGTGAGTGTAGTTTTAGGTGGATTTATTGCACGATCAATCGCTGTCTCGTTCGTGAAAAATACACGCTGACCGTTTTCAAGATGGATGGCTAACTGAACAACTGCTGGATCCCGTTCATGAATTGGAAAACCAAAGATACGCCAAGCAGCTTCATTGGAGCTGATGTACCGACCAATTTGGTAGAGCGTTATTTCATCGTTTTTATTCACTGGAGGAGCATTCACATTAGTATTTTCCACTCTAAACACAGCCATATCACTGCCTTTATGGACATACTTGCAAATGTATTTGATGCTCTTCACAGAACTGCAGAACTCAACATTAATATGAGCATTATATGTCTTGCTCAGCAGAGGCGAATATGGCACCACCCAACGATTGTCAATATCAATGTCTGTGTTGATGATATTTTTAATAAATAATTGTCCGCCATTTTCAGGATTTCTTCGACGATATATTGGGTATCCGTCGACATTTGTGACCGTATCATTGGTAAAATCTTTAGGGAAATTTTTAGTACATTTTCCATCAGCCATGCAAGGCGATGAACTATTAAGAGTACCACATGGACCATGAATCATGTTTTTTGTAACAATATCAAACAGCAGTTGGTCAGTGGATGGATCTGGAATTTCCGCAGAAATGATACTATCGATTTCTTCAGGACGGATTTTGTCGATGAACCAAACCAAAATGTGTGCATGAGGTAATCCTCGCTTTTGCCACTCAACCGAATACATCCAGCAACGTGTGGGACCAAATACATGTGATTTAGTAATGAAACTTATTAAAGACTTCAACTTTTGTCTGAACACACGTGCTGTAATATCATGGCGATGTATTGCATTTTGGCCAGGCAGTAGCAAAGATGTAATCTCTGGCCATTTTGGATTACATGTGAACGTGATGAATAAACATGGTCGTCCATATTCGCGCACGAAAGTCAGAGCATCCTGTATATATTCTTGCATATGACGTGGACTGCCTACGTACGATGATGGTAAAATGACATGGTTACCAATTTCGGCGACGTCGGCGTTGTTGTTGATAGCATCTCGCAAATGAATGTACTCTTCCGCGCGCAGCTTTTGTTGATTATATCGTAAGTATCGTAGTCGTTCGCTCTCAATCTTCGCGTACATGTCAACCATGAATTGTTGACAAAGCTCACGACATCGTAAAATGACGTTGTCCAGTCCACGTCTAATCATTAATCGGTACGCATAATAATCCTTTGAGCTAACGTTCTTGTTTGTTTCAGCTCCTGTAATATTTGTTCATAAAAATTAATTTAAATTTATTACGTTCAATAATTTAATTGTTTTGTTAAATGATTAATGATCAATTTAATAATCAATGAAGTACCTGATACGGGATCTCGTTGTTTTATGTTTATGCAATATCCGTCTTGTCCCTTCCAGAATATTAGTGGATATTGGAGAGCGTCATATGAACGATGTGTGTCAGCAATGAACTGAAGATTATTATTTCTTCTACGAATCACAATTTCTCGTGCAGCTGTACAATCGCCAACCATGATTCCAGCAACATCATCAACAATGGGTGCATTGAATCTACGAATATGCTCTCCAGCTGGTGTTTTATCAGGATTAATGACGATAGCGTGATTATCGCTTTGTAATTGGTGCATATGTGATTTGAATATTTTCAACAACTCGTTGTGCTCGTTCAAAAGACCATCTAGCTCGCTGACGATGCGCCTGGCATAAAGTGAACCAAGGTTATTATAATCACAACGTGCATTCACGCGATTGGCAAGTGCGCTTCCGGAATCCTCGCCGCCCATAAAGTAGATTTGTAAGAATTTATGTGGTTCGTTTGGCATTGGCAGCAGTGAGCCCATTTTATGATAAACTTGGCCTCTGATTTTGAATGTAGAATTGAATTGTTGACCATTTGCATTAGTATTTCGAACTATTTCTGTTGCTCCGAACGATGTCATTTGAAAGCATGAATTGAATCTTCGAATTGACTTCAGGAACATGTTAGAATCTGGATCCGTGCCGATAAGTAAGCCGTTCAATGGTTCAGGTGGTGTTTCAATTTCAGGTAGTTGCACTTTTCCTGACGCGCAACACATCCCAGCTGGCTCATTTTTGAATTTCAGAGCATGACAATGCGGACATTCCTTGTCCATAGCACCAATTACCACTTTTGAATGAGCATAATATTCAATATCGGGCTCATACTGGAATGCTAGACGCAGGAATAAATCAGATATAAATGCTCGATGTACCTGTTGTCGTTGTTGGTCATTTGTTCTTCGTCTACTGACTGTGAAACGGCGTGATTGTCGTTGTTCTAATCTTCTGACTTCATTGCGTTCAGCTCGTGTATCTTCTGGCTCTTCTTGATGCAATTGCGCCATTCTGACACGTGCATCAGTATTTTGTTGCTGGATTTGTTCTTCTGTTCTTTCGGATCTGCTATTTCGCAAGTTTCGAGCTTTACTTGTACTGCGGCTCAAATCAGCCCCTTTGCGTTTTCTTGGCATTGCTCACTGTACAAAACATACATAAATAGAATTAATGAAATTATTTAATGATGAAAAATGTTAAAAGTATAATTAGGGCCAGGATTTTTGCCGCAGTTTTGAAATGATTAGTTTTAATTTATGAAATTATAACAAAAATATAAGTTTTATGGAAAAAAATTCAAACAAAAGTAAAAAATTTAATTTTATGAAAACATTGTCTCTTATAATTTTTTTCATACAACCAATATTTCCATTGACATTTCAAAATAAAGATTCATAATGATTTATTTTTTTGGAAACTATGAAAATCTTAATTGTTCAATTACATTTTTTTTTAATAAAATTAAATTAAAATTACATTTTTATAAGATCAACAACATTTTCGATATATATAAAAAAAAGTATACTTACAACACAAAATCCGTTGTTATTGGAAGCTCGTGTCACGTGTTGAGTACTTTTGAGGTTATAAAATCACTTGATTAACTAATCGTGCAAAATACACTCGAAATTGATAATTTAATTATTATTGATAAAATAGGAATGATTAAAAGTTAATATGAGAGTTACACTGAGATAGCAAAATAATAATTGTCAACGTTACTACTACAGTTGATGCATAAACAATAATGATGGCCGACAACTGTGTAGGGAGTGAGAAAGAAAGGAGACCGGCTTCGTTCTCATCCCTACTCCGTGCTGTTTACTGGGTCAGAAGTGACACCTGTAGACATCTGGCGGGGATAACTAATTAAATGACGATTGATCAGTTTTCGACCGGAGAGGAAAATGATTAAATTACTAAAATGGCTATTAAAAAATAAGGGTTGATCGTAGAAGGGTGAAAATTGAGGATTGTATGTATTTTTGTATGTTGTATCATAAAAAAATAGAAATGAAAAAATTTTGTCTAAAAAATAAAAAATAAAATTTAGGGGTGGACTACCCCTAACATTTAAGGGGGATGAAAAATAGATGTTGGCCGATTCTCATAGATACCGGATAAGCACAAAAAATTTCATCAAAATCGGTCAAGCCGTTTCGGAGGAGTATGGCAACGAAAACTGTGACACGAGAATTTTATATATTAGATTTAACATAGTAACAAATTTATTAAAGAAATAAAATTAACCATATTGAATAAAATTAACATAATATACCAATCAAGTTATACCAATCCAAGATTTCATTACTTCAGGCCATTGAGCGTCTATTTTACCCACCTTGACAGGGAATCAATTGTTTTTTCGATAAAATGAGTTTACCTATAGAATGAAGTAGATGGTGTCATTACAAACCCATTTTACAAAGAAAATATTCTTTCTTCCTTGTTATAAAATTAAACTTGTTCCTCATACCTGCGACCCGCGCTGGCTTCGCACGGGTGGTTTCTGGAGTTCGACAACAGCACCAGCTATCGGGCATAAATGCAAATCTAAACAATCTACACTCAAACTCAATCAAATAATTTCATCAAAATCGGTTGCCATTTTCGATTTTTTGCGAGACTAACGGACAGCAATTGAACTTCATATACATATAGAGATTTTATACCGCAGTTTTGGTTGAAAATGGTCATATTAAATAAATCATTTGCCGTGAAACTTTTCATTTTATATTTTATTTCATATGAACGTTTCACTGCTACCGCGTGGGAACTGTACACATGTTTTCTTTTTATATTAATACTTATCATGTTTGCGATATGCAACTCAGAAGATATTGTAACGCTCCCCCCCTCTATATAAAAATAAAAATATAATTAATATAATTAATTTGCCACTCTTCAATAACATTATATATATGTGACCAGGATAAATAAGATATATTTTGATCTTACTAAATTATCTTTCAAAAGGTTAAATACTTATCTTCACGCACAATCCCTAACGGGGTAGCCAGAGAGAACAGATCGCCAAGTGTCACGATCCTTACATACCTCTTTCGCTTCTTTCAGGTTCATTAACTTCTTCATACATGCACGTCTAGGTATCCGAGTACTCTTGACCCTCCCCTCTTCGAGCAATTTGCTCACATGGTCTTCGAAAGTTAGTCTCGGTCTACCTCGACACCTTTTAATACTTACTTTCGCTCTATATATTTTCTTCACCATTCGGTCTTAACTCATTCGCTCAACGTGCCCAAACCATTAGAGTACGCCCCTATCAATTTTTGTAATAAGGTCATCTTTCAATCCTGCCGTATTGCGAATCTCTTCGTTTCGCTTTTAGATCGGCTATGGTAACGCCACACATTTTACGAAGAGATCGCATCCCCACTGCATTCAACTTGCTTTTATGCTTCTTCTGGCATACCCAGGTTTCGCTGCCATATAATAAAGTCGGTACCAACACTGCGTTATGTATTGCAAGGCGTGCACTCTTCACCACGCCTTGCCTTTTGACTAATGCATTCAGGGCACCATTGGCTATGTTTCCGGCAGCGACGCGCCTATCCACATCTAAATCACATCTTCCATCCTGGCTGAAAGCACTCCCCAAGTATACAATTTCATTTACCTGTTCTAGACGTTCCTGATTTACCCATATTTCACATTTCGTTCTCTCTTCCGTCCTTTTCAAATACCAGAACCTTAGTTTTATTAGCATTCAAACGGAGACCTTTAATTTCACATTCCTCTTTCATACACGTGACTAATGCCTGCAGTTCTGATTCTGATGGTGCAATAGGCACTGCATCATCAGGATACAGCAGACAATTTACTTTTATGTCACCCAATTTCACACCCAAACAGCTATTTTTCAGCTTCTGTAAACAGCTGTCGAGATACAGTATGAACAGCCAGGAAGACATGACACAACCCTGTTTTACGCCCGCTTGGACGCTAAACATGGGTGACAGGTCATTCCCTACCCGCATACAGGCTTTACAGTCATAGTAAAGTGACCGCACAGCCCTTAGCAATCGACCATCCACACCATATCCAGGCAACAGTTAACACATTTTCTTCCTTATAACCTTATCAAATGCTTTCTCCAGATCCACAAAAGCACAGAAAATCCTCTGGTTAACACTCAGAAGCTTTTCCGTGATCATGCGGAGCGAAAACATTTGATCCGTGCATCCTCTTCCAGGTCTAAATCCGCATTGTGCCTCCCATAATAATCTTTCCGATTTCTCTTGCATCCTACGTGTCAAAACCTTCGAGTAAACTTTACTTTCTAAACTGGTCAAGGTGATCGCCCGATAGCACCCGCAGTCAAAATGTGAACCTTTACCTTTATATAAAGGCACATTGATCGCGGATCGCCAATCATGCGGGACATCTCCCGTCCGCCAGCACAAGTTGCACAGCAGACGAAAGCTGTCCCAGACGCGAGGCCCACCGTACTTGACCATTTCAGCAGTAACTCTGTCTAGTCCCGCAGGCTTACCACATTTCAAACTTCGAATCGCACGTTCAATCTCTTTCATGCTGATGACCTCAGTGTCATCGAGGTCCGTGTCCGGCGTGCCAGTCATGGCGTTACCCCCGGATCCTTCACTAAGATCATGACACGTATACATTTCTCTATAAAATTCACTCCATCGCTGCATGACGTCCGATTTTTCTGAGAGGACGTCATTGGTTCTCGAAAGCACTTTGTTCATTCTTAAGGCTGTCGCACCACTCCGGGACCCTCCAACCTCTTTCCAGAAGAGTTTGGAGTTTTCCTTAAAGTTGTGCGACAACCTCTCGTCCGCTTCTGTTATACACCTTTCACGTACTTCCTCAATCAATGTTTTCGCATGAACTTTCTGCAGCTTATATCTTTTTTTCATCTTCTCTCTCATATGCTTATCGTTACTAGAGGCCAAGTAGTCTAACCACGCTTTTTTCTTCTTTTTTACAGCTTCCCTCACTTCATCATTCCACCATGCATCTCTTCTTTTACTACTACCTATTTTTGCCGTTCCACATACTTCTTCCGCTGCACTTACCATTCCATCCCTAAGGTTCTACCATGTTCTTTCCACACATTCTTACCTGCCATCGATGGTGTCAAGCTTTTTGGCTACCCTCGTGTGATATTTGTCTCTAGTATCCGCTTCCTGAAGCTTCCAGCTTCGGATGGGACAGACCGACTGTGGTTCTGTTACTGCCGTCCGATAGCGCCAACCCGCGAACAAACCCCTAAATCTAGTAATTACTACTGAACACTCGTGTATCCATCACCTGTTTTCGCAGTCGGTCATCCACCAGGAACAAATCAATCTTACTTCTCTCATTCTTTCTTTCTCTAGTGTACATATGGATTTTCCTGTAATTACACATAGTGTTTGTCACAAGAAGACCCTTTTCCTTGCATACAGCCAGTATAAGTTTGCCAGCATCATTAACCCTTTTATCGCCAAACTTTTCAAGCACCGACTCGTATCTTGGTCGAGCGATACCTACCCATCCATTCAAATCACCACATACAACAGTTCTTTCGTTTCCCTTAACCAAATCTAGAACTTCTCTTACATTCTCCCAAAACTCCTCCAGCTCAGCCCTGGACGACGAAGCTACCGGTGCATAAACAGCCAAAAGGAATAACTTCGTCAGTCCCAGTTTAAAGCGAACCCAGAGAAGTCTTGAGTTCACAACCTTGTATTCAGTCATAAGATCGACCAACCGGGACGACAACAGCACCCCCACTCCCTGGCAGGCGTTCTCGCTTTCCGGGACTCCGGACCATATAACTAAAGTCCCGCCAGGGAGCTCTACAGTACCACTGCCTTTCCGTTTGGTCTCCGACATACACACGACATCTAATTCTCTTTCTTTCATTATTTCGATCAACTCATTCGTCTTATCTCTCATGCCCCCTCTAACATTCCACGTGCCAACTCTGCACTCCGTCCTCGACCTTCCGCCGTGTCGGGCTGTGCGTGACGGGTGGCGGTCCCCATCGCCGCTTTGCGCGCTGCATTCCACATCAACGGGGACGAACTGGTGTGCATCGCCTTAACTCCCCTACGGGACGCCCTAAGTCCCGTTTGCATGGGTGCGCAGCTGTGTAGAATTGCAGCCC